GTATCTATATCCACAGTAAAACAAGTCCTATATCGACATAACCTGAAAGGCCGCTCAGCAAGGAAGAAGCCACTGCTCCAAAACCGCCATAAAAAAGCCAGACTACGGTTTGCAACTGCACATGGGGACAACGATCGTACTTTTTGGAGAAATGTCCTCTGGTCTGATGAAACAAAAATAGAACTGTTTAGCCATAATGACCATCGTTATGTTTGGAGGAAAAAGGGGGATGTTTGCAAGCCGAAGAACACCATCCCAACCGTGAAGCACAGGGGTGGCAGCATCATGCTGTGAGGGTGCTTTGCTGCAGGAGGGACTGGTGCACTTCACAAAATCGATGGCATCATGATGAAGGAAAATTATGTGGATATATTGAAGCAACATCTCAAGACATCAGTCAGGAAGTTAAAGCTTGGTCACAAATGGGTCTTCCAAATGGACAATGACCCCAAGCATACTTCCAAAGTTGTGGAAAAATGGCTTAAGGACAACAAAGTCAAGGTATTGGAGTGGCCATCACAAAGCCCTGACCTCAATCCTATAGAAAATTTGTGGGCAGAACTGAAAAAGCGTGTGCGAGCAAGGAGGCCTACAAACCTGACTCTGTTACACCAGCTCTGTCAGGAGGAATGGGCCAAAATTCACCCAAGTTATTGTGGGAAGCTTGTGGAAGGCTACCCGAAACGTTTGACCCAAGTTAAACAATTTAAAGGCAATGCTACTTTATACTAATTGAGTGTATGTAAACTTCTGACCCACTGGGAATGTGATGAATGAAATAAAAGCTGAAATAAATCATTCTCTCTACTATTATTCTGACATTTCACATTCTTAAAATAAAGTGGTGATCCTAACTGACCTAAGACAGGGAATTTTTACTAGGATTAAATGTCAGGAATTGTGATAAACTGAGTTTAAACGTATTTTGCTATGGTGTATGTAAACTTCTGACTTCAACTGTATTGGTCATATCTTTACTAATGCTGCAGAGATTTGTTTGAAAGCTGTATCCAAATCCATTGGATGTAGTGATCACAATATAGTTGCCATATCTAGGAAAACCAAAGTTCCAAAGGCTGGGCCTAATATTGTGTATAAGAGGTCATACAATAAGTTTTGTAGTGATTCCTATGTTGTAAAGAATATATGTTGGTCCATGGTGTGTAATGAGGAGCAAACAGACACTGCACTTGACACATTTATGAAATTGCTTATTCCAGTTACTAATAAGCATGCACCCATTAAGAAAATGACTGTAAAAACTGTTAAATCCCAGTGGATTGATGAGGAATTGAAAAATTGTATGGTTGAGAGGGATGAGGCAAAATGAATGGCAAATAAGTCTGGCTGCACGACCGATTGGCAAACGTATTGCAAATTGAGAAATCATGTAACTAAACTGAATAAAAAGAAGAAGAAACTACACTATGAAACAAAGATAAATGACAAAGAATGATAGTAAAAAGCTTTGGAGCACCTTAAATGAAATCTTGGGAAAAAAGGCAAACTCATTGAATCAGATGGCTCATTGAGAATCTGTGGTATAACTTAAAGATTGCTGTACACCAGCAGAACCCATCCAACTTGAAGGAGCTGGAGCAGTTTTGCCTTGAAGAATGGGCAAAAATCCCAGTGGCTAGATGTGCCAAGCTTATAGAGACATACCCCAAGAGACTTGCAGCTGTAATTGCTGCAAAAGGTGGCTCAACAATGTATTGACTTTGGGGGGGGGGGGGATGTCAGATACACACACACACGCACGCTCAAGTTCAGTTTTTTTGTCTTATTTGTTGTTTGGTTCACAATAAAAAATATTTTGCATCTTCAAAGTGGTAGGCATGTTGTGTAAATCAAATGATACAAACCCCCTAAAAAAATCAATTTTAACTCCAGGTTGTAAGGCAACAAAATAGGAAAAATGCCAAGTGGGTTGAATACTTTCACAAGCCACTGTACATGTCAGCTACTACAGCGACTGAAATGACTGCAACACTTAACAAAGAGTTTCAGTTAGTTTCAAAGTGGGTGGCAAGGAATAAGTTAGTCCTAAATATTTCTTTTAAAAAAAGCATTGTATTTGGGACAAATAATTCACTAAACCCTTAACCTCAACTAAATCTTGTAATAAATAATGTGGAAATTGAGCAAGTTGAGGTGACTAAATTGCTTGGAGTAACCCTGTATTGTAAACTGTCATGGTCAAAACAAATTGATACAACAGTAGCTAAGATGGGGAGAAGTATATCCATAATAAAGCGCTGCTCTACCTTCTTAACAGCACTATCAACAAGGCAGGTCCTACAGGCCCTAGTTTTGTCACAACTGGACTACTGTTCAGTCGTGTGGTCAGGACTTTAGGAAAATTGCAATTGGCTCAGAACAGGGCAGCACGGTTGGCCCTTGGATGTACACAGAGAGCTAATATCAATAATATGCATGTCGATCTCTCCTGGCTCAAAGAGGAGGAGAGATTGACTTCATCACTACTTGTGTTTATGAGAGGTGTTGACATGTTGGGTGCACCGAGCTGTCTGTTTGAGCTACAGGCGCAAAACTCGGTCACCCATGCATACCCCACAATACATGCCACCAGAGGTCTCTTCACAGTCCCCAAGTCCAGAACAGACTATGGGAGGCGCACAGTACTACATAGAGCCATGACTACATGGAACTCTATTCCACATCAAGTAACTGATGCAAGTAGTAAAATTAGATTTAAAAAACAGATTAAAAAACACCTTATGGAACAGCGGGGACTGTGAAGCAACACAAACATAGGCGCAGACACATGCATACACACACACGATAACATACGCACTATACACACACGTACACATGGAGTTTTGTACTGTAGATATGTGGTAGTGGTGGAGTAGGGGCCTGAGGGCACACAGTGTGTTGTGAAATCTGTGAATGTATTGTAATGTTTTCAAAATTGTATGAACTGCCTTAATTATGCTGGACCCCAGGAAGAGTAGCTGCTGCCTTGGCAGCAGCTAATGGGGATCCATAATAAATACAAATACAAAAAATACAAATGTTATGGTCTCTAATGGTCTTCAATGGTAAAGTCCCAAACACACACTGTATAGTGTTTTGCAATGGCAATGGTATTGGTTTGGGTTTAATGGTAAATGTTTCAGGAATGTTAATCATAGCCTTTAACAACTATAGAAACGATTTCAGAACAATCTGTCGAAATCCACCATCTTGTGCTTTTTGAGGTGGAACAACCCCATTGTCAATAGATGCCAGATCTGGGCATTTCTCCCTGGAATTGTCTGCAAAAAACTGGAATAGATAATTCCTTTCCCATTGGTATCAAGTGACAAATTAATAATTGTTGATAGTGTAAAATGAGTTTAATTGCCTGCTTGTCAATAGCCTACAATTGAATTCGTCCAAATCATGGAGAAATGTTTGTACAATTAGATGAGAATAATGTACTGTTAGTTATTAAATACTGCATCTCCATCTGCTTGCTAGTTGAAGGCCTACCATTGTCACCATTCAACCATCCTGGGTTTCTCACACATCTAATATGATTTCTCACCCTGGACATGTGCATGGGGACCATAGAGATAGATAGAGGACTCTAGTGCCCAAAAGCCTATTTTTGCATAAAAGTGGCATTGAGAACTTTCACCTTTTTGAAGTAGCCGACTGGGTGGGACGTCCTATGGGTTAAGGAAGGATCACATAATTCCATCCAGGTCACCAGGAGGGATCAGCCAATGAATTATACTTGTGAGCAAACATTCCATAACTGCAGGTTATTGTCATTATATACATTATATATACAGATCTCCTGACTACTTCAAAATAGAGTGGTGAGGAGGAGGAGGAGGAGCTTGGACCCTTCATGTCCGGAAGTAATTTAGCCATTCATTGTAGTCCTTGGCGCTCTGTAGAGTTGCTATTTTCGAGGTTTCTCATCTCAATTAACTAGTGACATTCCTGGATTACTCATTATATTAATAAAGCCTGATTTAATCAACAAATACAATAGTCCGTAAAAAAAAAAAAAGGTTAAGGGTCGAAGACTGTGTACATATCTGGCTGTTTTGGCAAAATCACTACATATCCCATCGAGCCAAGCGGGGAGAGGCTGCCCGTTACCACAGTTCCAAGACCAATTAGAAACATCCAGCTAACCCTACCCCCCCCCAAAAAATAAAAAAAATAACAAAAAAAATACAACAAATAAATAAAATAAAAACCCTAAGCCAATGACTCCGGTGGATCTCAAAACTGAACTTGGATCCTCGTTAAGTAGCATTGATATCCTTCGTCACCGTTGTCTTACGACAGATAGCTCAATCCAGTCATGACTATTCAACAAAACAATAAATCGTTTTCAAGTTTCTTTCCAGTGACTTTCTTAGTTACATGATTGTATAATACGTTTTGAAGTTGAGGGTGCAGTATTTATGAAGTTGGCCAATGGGGATGAAAACTATCATAGTTCAGCTAGCCAGCTAGTTTAACCAGGGAAAACTATCTCGGGACAGGATATTTTTATTTAACTAGTCAAGTCAGTTAAGAACAAATTCTTATTTACAATGACGGCCTAAAAATATATAGCGTGACATACATTTGTAAATGTACAGTATTTGGAATACATACATTTGTATGAAAATATTTTATTTGGCAAATATTTTATATTTCACATGCATTTTTTTTTCGGTATGGGACTCCTGCTTACCACTCTAGGGAGATGGGCTCAATCGCGATGTCCATGCTCTCACAGACGCCATAATGGGACAGAGACAATTATGCGATGTCTATCTAAGTCTATGATAAGGACACCTGTGAATGGAGGACACATACGAAAAGCAGAAAAGCCGTACTAGACAAATATCACATCACATTTCCCCTCAATATTATCTTAATCGTAAAAATAAAAAAAACTGTCACACACAAAATGTCCCCGTGTTAATAATTAACAGTCAGTCAACTTACCGCGCTCACCTTCATGGTCATCGCCCGCTCAGCCAGAAGGGCATTCGACGTCAGAAAAGGGTATTTTCCAAAAGCTGTTATCACGAGAGCTCACTCAAAAATTACAGGTAGGCATATGGAGACACATTTTCCATCTGTCCTGATATCTCCCAGGTAAGTTGCCGGCGTTCATAACTACAGTTTCATTTGGTATCTGTGAGGACGCGCTGTTGTTCTTACAGCTCTCTTTCTTGCTTGGAAGACCAATTAGTAGGCCTATGGGTAATTGGCACGATATCCCATCAGCTTGTATCTGCATGTGCTTTCTTACGATATTTTCTGTGAGTTAAAAATTGAGTATACTGGTTTTTGTTATGTGGTCTAGGCCAGTAGTTCCCAACCAGGGGTAGAACACCTAGGGGTACTTGTCCTATCCACTGGGGGTACTTGAGGAGACTCATGAGACCGTAGGTCTACTGGATACTATGTTGATTATATTATACTATTTCTAGGCCTTATGTTGCATAAATCTCTCTTCCTGAAGTTGTGAGAAATGGTAAGAACCATCTGTAATCTATGGATGTGCAGGCGTCTCCATGCAACAACACCTCAGACCCTCTGTGCTGTAAGTATTTTATGTTCCCATGTGTAAACTACAACAGTCTCTCCAACACCAGCTCAGATAAAATATTAGATGTGCAACAAGAACCAAGTTTGATGTACCAGTTGGCTGTCTGAGTGCACCAGTTACACTGATTGTGTTGTGTTCCACCTGTACCATCTGTACTGTGTATGTATTCAGATGAGGAAGGATCAGGCACATTAGCTGTGATCATTATCCCCACTCTCCTGGCTCTCAGCACAGTGGTTGTTGTGACCAGCATACTGTGCAGTCTCTTCTGTAGAAGAATAGCAACACCAGAGAGGACCTCCATCCCTGCCCATTACACAAATTGTGGTAAACTTAAACCTATTGGAAATATCAACCTGTGTTAGACCTGTAATATTGTCTAGTGAATTCACCACAGTGAATTATTGCGTAAAAATAATTGTTAATGCAATCTGTTCCTGCTCATATCAACACTCTGCATCAGTATGCAAACTTTAAACCACGACTAACATGAGCCCTCTACTGCCTAGGAAGGCACATGACATTGTACAAACATTACAATATAAACCTCAAGAAACAACTTCAAGTTGAAATTCAAATGCATGCTATCACAAATGTTTAGCACAGTACTGCGTTGCATCCAGCAGGTCAGGAGTGTGTGTCCACTAGCCCAGTGGATCCATGGGAGATCCCAGGAGAATGTACTCTGGAGGGGCTGGAGTTCTGGCAGCCTGGCCACTATGGTCCTATCTGCAGAGGCACAATGAGAAGAAAGGATATACCCAGTGCTGTGGTGGTCAAGACACTCCGAGGTATATGCTTGTACAGTTCTATACAGGCTGTGTGTGGGACATTGTAGCATATTTTTGGAGAGATTGCCCCCAAGCAAGTATGAGGTATGGGAGAGCTGTGTGTACCTCGCAGGTAAAAACAAACATACTTTTTGAATTCGACTCTTAGAGGATCCCACTGCAATGGATTTTGTTATTTTATTTCTATGATCTTGTTACTTATTTAAGAAGTTGAAAACTTTGGTCCAATCTCTTACTTACAGTATACTGTTTCTCCTTTCAGGTGGCATAAATCAGCCTGAGGCAAAGGAGTTTGTTGACTGGATCCTTTTCCATGGTAAAGTGTGTAAACACCAGAACCTGGTCCGGATGCTGTACTGTCAGACACAGAGACTACCCATGTACCTGGTACTGGAGGCCTGTAGTCCTGGCAACCTCCTGCACTACCTCTGGACCCTGAGAAATGTAAGACAACAATTCCAAATCAAATCAAATCAAATTTTATTGGTCACATGCGCCGAATACAACAGGTGCAGACATTACAGTGAAATGCTTACTTACAGCCCTTAACCAACAGTGCATTTATTTTTTAACAAAAAAGTAAGTGTTGAGAAAAAAAGAGCAGAAGTAAAATAAAATAACAGTAGGGAGGGTATATATACAGGGGGGTACCGGTGCAGAGTCAATGTGCGGGGGCACCGGCTAGTTGAGGTAGTTGAAGTAATATGTACATGTGGGTAGAGTTAAAGTGACTATGCATAAATAATTAACAGAGTAGCAGCAGCGTACAAGGATGGGGTGGGGGGGCAGTGCAAATAGTCTGGGTAGCCATGATTAGCTGTTCAGGAGTCTTATGGCTTGGGGGTAGAAGCTGTTGAGAAGTCTTTTGGACCTAGACTTGGCACTCCGGTACCGCTTGCCGTGCGGTAGCAGAGAGAACAGTCTATGACTAGGGTGGCTGGAGTCTTTGACAATTTTGAGGGCCTTCCTCTGACACCGCCTGGTATAGAGGTCCTGGATGGCAGGAAGCTTGGCCCCAGTGATGTACTGGGCCGTACGCACTACCCTCTGTAGTGCCTTGCGGTCGGAGGCCAAGCAGTTGCCATCCAGGACTTTAATTGGTGGGACTTTAAGTTTATTTGCTGTAACAAATACATTGGAAATCATACTCACCAGAGCCCTCACTAATCAACCTTGCTGAATATGAATAATACTGTATTTCTAATCCCAATATGATGTAAATTCATTATTATTCAATTTTTCAGTTACATTTAATTCAAATTGAAGTCATTAATTGAAAGGTCTACAGAGAAATAATAATAATTGGTGATTTTAATTTCAGACATTTAATACCGAGCATCCCCCTGAGTTGACTGAATAATAATTAATTTCCCTGTTCTCCAGAGTGATTCGGAGTCCTTGAGTCCACTGCAACACTTTTCAGAGAGATCAGTGTTTTTGGTGGCAAAGCAGGTGGCAGCAGGCCTGGTAAGTCATTTTCTGTAGCATTTGGAGAGATCTAATATCCAATGGAATAGCCAAAATACAGTACCACAACAAGCTCTGTGCAGTGAATACAGTGTAATGTCCTAGCTGCATATTGATACCAATGTGATTTATAACAGTTTCATCGTCAATAGACGACACCTCATGGAAAACCTTGGTACTGCAGTCAGTTGCTAGAATACAATGACTATGAGCATGTAATCCAAGCAATTTAAAAGTATCACATCAACTATATCCTGGTGTCTGCATTCAAGCACATCATTAATATTACACAGTTTTTTTCTTTCTACTATCTTCTTTCAGGACTATCTGTTGTCAGAGCACAGGCTTGTACATGGTAATGTCGCTGCACAGAACGTCCTGATTGGTCCAGGGTTCTCTGTGAGGGTGTCTGGATTGGGCCTGGCCTTTGAGGTCCGCCAGCGCCAGACTGACAAACTGGCCAATCGCAGGTGCCAGAATGACAAGCTGGCCAATCAGAGAACAGCTGAGGTCCCTCTCAAATGGCAGGCTCCAGAGAGGATAATGAAGCACCCAACCACAGACAGGAGTGATGTGTGAGTTTTGGGACATGTAGGGCCGGTTTCCCAGACACAGATTAAGCCCATTCCTGGACTAAAGCATTATCAATTAAAAACATCTCCATTGAAATAGCTTTTTTTTTTTTGTCTAGCACTAAACGTAATCTGTGTTTGGGAATCCGTCCCGTAGAGTATACATTAACCGAACATTTGTTTGGTTTTATTAACGTTCAGACAAAATATTTCTACATGACTTTCAGTAGTTTTTTGTAACATCTCAACATGCTTGATAACTTGTTTTCTCTCCCCCTCAGATGGTCTTTTGGAATATTTCTGTATGAATTGATCACATTGGGTAACTGTTACTTTGCAGATATCTGATTCAAGTAATTTTGCAAATGCACGCCTACCTCTACAATAAGACAACAATATTTTCAGTTAGTTTTTTTTGTTTTAGTAGTCTTTAATATTTTATTAATGTTTCATATTTCTTCCTCAGGCTCTCCCCCCTACCCTGATCTGGAGCCGGAGTGTGTGTTCCTCCACCTACAGAAATCATACAGGATGAAGAGGCCAGACAACTGTGGAGGGCCCTTGTAAGTCTGTGCCCGTCCCTGGCCATAAACAGTCTAATATGTCTACAATATTCTCATTAAACCATAAGAATATACATGTAATTATGCCACAGCCAATGTAAAGCCCATTATTAGCTGTGTAATGCCTCCATGTTGTAGCCGCCTATTTAATCTAATCAGGCTCTCTCATTCTATTCTATTCATCGGTCTCTCTCTCCAGGTATGACCTGATGAAGTACTGCTGGATGTGGAGCTTCAAGGACCGGCCTGTGTTCTCCGCCATCATCAAGCTTCTGGGGTCTTACACATACCTTGCTGGCACTACAGACATCTACATCCCAGAGGGCATGGACATCATTGACTACAGCAAGAGGGCAGGTGTGCTGCCCTAAATATCTAGCCCAAGGCATCACATTCATGAATAAAGAGGCTAGCTAGAAGCAAGGAGTGAGTCCATTACAAAGCATGGCTGTAGTTGATTTTAGGTTGATGTGTACTGTACTGTGGTATCAAATGTGTTATAAACTTTCAGAGAGATTATTTTATGATGCTGAGATTAAATTTTGTAAATGGGTTAACATAATAAGGGTGCATGAGGGTGTGGAAGTATTGTATGGAGGATGCAACCTAGCCTTATTGTAAGATTGCATTTTTGGATGAGTGTCCCTTTTAGCACATAAATGGATGTCAGGAAAAAAAAATCTGCCACTATAATGTTATTGTCACGTCACATTTTTGGCCCATCACAAGTGAACATATTTTAAGAACTTGTACAAATGTAAGAAGTGTTCTTAATGTCATATTGTCCCCAGTGTCATGAAACCAGGCAAGTCATTATATCACCACTTTTTTAATTGTCAAAACATTTACATCATTTAAAATATATTTTACTTGTTTTTAATTGGGTGAGGATAACTATTGTGCCTTTAACGGTAGTAATGAGACATGTAGTATTGTAGCCATACAGTTAGTGCCCACAACGAGACTGTCTTGAAGTCACTGTGATCACGCTATGTAAAACTGTACTGCACACACTCCACTGTTGATTTTCATAACATTGCTTATCATTGACCATGATGCCAACAAACAAGTAGTTTGGACCACATGGAGGTGACATTTATAGTTTTACTGTCCTGTTGCTATTGTCAGTCAGTCTCTAAAGACAATTCAAAACAAATCCATCATCACATTGTCTCAATCACACACTCATATCTTAAAATTCTAAAGGGAGGCACAAACCACCATTTTCAGAATAACACACGAGGCATGCGGAAATTGATGAAGAACAGGAATATTCCGGACAACATTTTTGTCCTCATGATTCACGCTTAAAAGTAACTGCAAAACCTTTTCACACTACTGCGCTGAGCCGAACCAAGCCAAGATGAGCTGTGCAGGACTGGTTACACATCCACCATAGTTGCTGAAATCGTACTGGAAATGACAGCAGGAAAGGAATACATCTAAGTCAGCACAGAACAATTCGGGCTGGCACTATAGTGTGAAAGTGTACACGTTATCAACTGAACTAAAAAAATTACAAAATATTCACTGTACCTCAGCTTAAAAGCAATGGGATGGTAATGCATTATTTGATTTTTTTATGCACTACTGAAAGTGCAAAGCCTCCTAAAACAGAAGCAGAGGTGCACAAATACCAAATTTAAAGCTACGTTCACAGGAGCTAGAATCTGACCACAATGTCATGTGTAAGTCAAATTAAAAGGGACTGTCTGGGAGTGGTCTGAGGAAAACTAGTGGTTTGGAACTCTTTCTTGTTGGTCTATTAACTAATTTACTGCCAATGTCACCAGGCAGGCCAAAACTCCATCCCACCAAAACAGGCTCTTTTCAAACAGCTCTCGCACTAAAAGGCCATTATCATTTTTACAATTTCAGTGTATTATTCCAACCAGTGTGGAAATATATATAAAAACACAGGAAAATCATGTTTTTGACTGCACTGGTCATTTAAAGCAGTGGTTCCCAAACTGTGGGGCTCGCCCCAGGGGTCGGCGGGGGGAGGAACGCAGTCCGGCTTTCAACTTACAACTTTCAAGAGTATTAGTAGAATGCACAAGGTGCAATTTCGAAATGCATCATCAGTTTCCCCCTTTTCATGTCAGTCATTGCATACCTTGCTTAGAGAGCAATTTTTTTTGCCAGGTTTCTTTGCCCATAGATTTTGTTGTAATGTTTGAGTCACTCAAATATCACATGAATACATAGACATGGCAAAAATGTATAGAATTGCAAGAATATGAGCATTAAAACTGCAAAATGTTCTTTTGCACCCCATTACAAAATGTGTAGAAATGCAGGAAAGCTTTAAACCTGCTAAATGTTCTCTCTGCCAACAAGAGGTGTGTGAACAGTTCATGTCATGAACAGTGCTTGTGCCCATAGAAATAGACGTGGCGCGCAGAGAGGAGGCACAGGATGTTCCCCAATGCTGGAAGGGGGGCCTGGGTGAAAAAGTTTGGGAACCCCTGCTTCCTGTCCTAAAGAGGAAATGCACATTTAGGTTCGACCTCCAAAGAATGACGAAGGCTACTTATACATACATATTCACGAATTGGGTGTGGGAATTTCTATGTGGAGTTGATAAACATAAATAAATAGGGCAGTGTAGCTAGCTAATATCATCTGTTGGTGATGTTTAGTTTTTTTTACTACACCATATTCAAAAGATTAGCCAGCTGGCTCTATGGCTCGCTCTGGAGCTGGATTTGTCATAAGCATTGGTTTAGGGAAAATTTTGCCACAGATGGAAACCACTTGACTTCGCCATCTGTTATCTCCAAAGTTGTGGCATCCTCCATAAATGAAGGCTGCGAATCCGCCATAGAAATAGTTCGAATGAATAAGGTGAAGCTCCGGTAATATGGCTAACTATTGAAAGATAGCTGATATGCGTTTGTCTTCATTGTAATGGTCACAGTGCAAACTTTGTTAGGTAGACTGCTGGCAGGCTTCGGTACAGCAAAGCAAAGTCAGCCCGTGCTCATGGTTCTCACAGTGGAAGTGAAATAAGTTACAATGACTTTGCTTATGATCATGCACGCCGCAAATGACATGTAACTATAGATCGGTTAGCTGACAACGTCACAAACACGATGTGCACGCTTCAATGGGGCAGAAATCCGTGTGTCGTGATTCTGGATGGGCAGATAGCATGTGGTTTGTAGCTAACATTACACCAATCAAAGCAGTGGAGCGTGTAGTGACGCAAAACCGTTCATCTTGGGACGACGGGGGTAGCGGGTTTGCAAAACGCTATCATATCACGCAATATACCATTTATATATATTTAAATCCACAAATTATCCAATGGATTATGAGAATTTTAATGGTTAAAACAAAGTATTTCAATTTGCTCCATGGCTCAGGCAGCCAAGTGGACACGGGGCTGTTTGGCTCAACACGGTCGAAGAGGAATAACTTTGCAGCGGTTTCTGATGAATAAACAATGCCATGCTGGGTGGTAACATTCAAATAAAACCCAGCCCTTAAACAAAACGTCTGCAAATAAAAAAATATCATAGGAAAAGACACCGCATTCACAAGGATTTGGACGAAGTGGGCAGTTCAGATGTCACTTCAAGCCCAAATATACTTTGACTAAAACAATGACTTATTAACTTAAATCATTGGGCAACTTTGTGGGTAAACTCTAGCCATCGTTTTTCAGCTCGAAAAAGAGGATTTGTACTGGTGTGGGCATTTAATAACAACATTGAGACCCATTTATTTTATATGAATGCCCATTATTGTATTCACCATAGCTAGCCTATGATCTTTTTAATATACAGTGCCCTCTGTAATTATTGGGACAGTGAAGCATTTTTTCTCCTTTTGGCTCTATACTCTAAGTTTGGATTTGAAATCAAACGATAACTAGGAGGGTAAAGTGCAGACCATCAGCTTTAATTTGAGGGTATTTAATCCATAGTGGGTGAACAGTTTAGACATTACAGCACTTTTTTGCTGTAATTTCAAAACGGTTCACCCAATATGGATGAAATACCGTCAAATTAAAGCTGACAGTCTGCACTTTAACCTCAATGTCATTGTTTGATTTCAAATCCAAACCTTTTAAGTATAGAGCCAAAAGAAGAAAAATGCTTCACTGTCCCAATAATTACAGAGGGCACTGTATATCTGGTGGGACCGTAAGCACTATTACATTTTGCTTGCAATAAAATGAAACTAATCTTTTCTCAAAATGGTTAAGATTTTTAAGAAAAATAATACTATTCCGATTAAAGAATGCAGTTGATGATCAAAAACAACAAACTTGGTGTTTTGAAGAGAAAATAAAAACTACATATTTCTCAACAATCCCATATATCCACACACAATTCATTATGTACAATCACTTTGGTAGAGTTATTTTCAGTAGAACATAAGATCTAGAGATGGTAGTGTCTACCATCATTTAAAAAACCATTATACAATTAACTTTGTTTGTATCTGCAATATAATGAAAACATGATTTTTATTACAAATACAGTGGGGGAAAAAAGTATTTAGTCAGCCACCAATTGTGCAAGTTCTCCCACTTAAAAATATGAGAGAGGCCTGTAATTTTCATCATAGGTACACGTCAACTATGACAGACAAAATTAGAAAAAAAAATCCAGAAAATCACATTGTAGGATTTTTAATGATTTTATTTGCAAATTATGGTGGAAAATAAGTATTTGGTCAATAACAAAAGTTTCTCAATACTTTGTTATATACCCTTTGTTGGCAATGACACAGGTCAAACGTTTTCTGTAAGTCTTCACAAGGTTTTCACACACTGTTGCTGGTATTTTGGCCCATTCCTCCATGCAGATCTCCTCTAGAGCAGTGATGTTTTGGGGCTGTCGCTGGGCAACAGACTTTCAACTCCCTCCAATGATTTTCTATGGGGTTGAGATCTGGAGACTGGCTAGGCCACTCCAGGACCTTGAAATGCTTCTTACGAAGCCACTCCTTCGTTGCCCGGGCGGTGTGTTTGGGATCATTGTCATGCTGAAAGACCCAGCCACGTTTCATCTTCAATGCCCTTGCTGATGGAAGGAGGTTTTCACTCAAAATCTCACGATACATGGCCCCATTCATTCTTTCCTTTACACGGATCAGTCGTCCTGGTCCCTTTGCAGAAAAACAGCCCCAAAGCATGATGTTTCCACCCCCATGCTTCACAGTAGGTATGGTGTTCTTTGGATGCAACTCATCATTCTTTGTCCTCCAAACACGACGAGTTGAGTTTTTACCAAAAAGTTCTATTTTGGTTTCATCTGACCATATGACATTCTCCCAATCCTCTTCTGGATCATCCAAATGCACTCTAGCAAACTTCAGATGGGCCTGGACATGTACTGGCTTAAGCAGGGGGACACGTCTGACACTGCAGGATTTGAGTCCCTGGCGGCGTAGTGTGTTACTGATGGTAGGCTTTGTTACTTTGGTCCCAGCTCTCTGCAGGTCATTCACTAGGTCCCCCCGTGTGGTTCTGGGATTTTTGCTCACCGTTCTTGTGATCATTTTGACCCCACGGGGTGAGATCATGCGTGGAGCCCCAGATCGAGGGAGATTATCAGTGGTCTTGTATGTCTTCCATTTCCTAATAATTGCTCCCACAGTTGATTTCTTCAAACCAAGCTGCTTACCTATTGCAGATTCAGTCTTCCCAGCCTGGTGCAGGTCTACAATTGTGTTTCTGGTGTCCTTTGACAGCTCTTTGGTCTTGGCCATAGTGGAGTTTGGAGTGTGACTGTTTGAGGTTGTGGACAGGTGTCTTTTATACTGATAACAAGTTCAAACAGGTGCCATTAATACAGGTAACGAGTGGAGGACAGAGGAGCCTCTTAAAGAAGAAGTTACAGGTCTGTGAGAGCCAGAAATCTTGCTTGTTTGTAGGTGACCAAATACTTATTTTCTACCATAATTTGCAAATAAATTCATTAAAAATCCTACAATGTGATTTTCTGGATTTTTTTCTCTCAATTTGTCTGTCATAGTTGACGTGTACCTATGATGAAAATTACAGGCCTCTCTCATCTTTTGAAGTGGGAGAACATGCACAATTGGTGGCTGACTAAATACTTTTTCCCCCCACTGTATCTTACAAATTTCTTTCACTGCAAAAACTGTGCCGCCATTTTCTTATTCTTTACAGTAAAAAACTTTTCTCAATGACTTTATTAATTACTGAAAATACTTTTTTGTATTATTGTTGTAGTAATCTCAAGCACAATTAGTGCATAAGGGATGATACAGTACACACTAGACAGTACAACTCTGCAGTTGTATTGTACAAACATAATAGATACAGATACCCAAACCCTGTCTTAATCAAAAACAGAAATGGCTAAGGTACAGTACATTATCCATCAAGTGTTCATGATGAAAAAGGCAGTTAAATCTTACAAAAACATTACACCGTCCTCTTACGTTCTGTTTTTCGATCCGCTGTGGATAGCTAGCAGCAGCAGTCTGGGCGCTTTAGTTAACCCCACCGGACGGCTTGTTGACAAGCCATGTGCGAGTGTGAATTTGTAGCAAGGCCTTTAATGCCTACTACACTTTGCAGCTCCATAGAGTTGTTGGGAACAAAATGTAGGAGACAGACCACAAGAGGTAGTACACACATGCCGGAGGGAAAGAGGAACAGAACACCATGACAACTCCTGCAAAACAAAACAGAAAAATATAGAAATGTGATGAATAGCCTACCTAAACAAATAGCCTACCTTTCTAATTGCTGGGTTTTGGGATCTGAAACATGAATAAACTTTATAAACTCTCAATTGAGATTTAAGTATGAACTCTTATTCTGAAGTGAGGACTCTTATTACTGCTCACATGCTTAAAGTCCCTGGTATCAACATCCCAAAAGATTTTACAGGACCAAACTTACATTTTTTGAAGAATTGTTTTAACATCTAATGTACTATTTAATTTTTTCACAGAAAAGTGTTTCCCAGGCTTTATTTTAATGGAGTGGATGCTTGGCAGAATTCTCTGGAAGCATCTTCCAGATAGGTAAACAATCGAGCCTTCTGCATTAGGTAGATGCTGCTCCTTCCGCTGCCACTTGCCCCTCTTTCCTGTTCTCACTCACCCTGCACATGATTGGACGTCTTTGTCTGGTGTACAAACTTCGCCAAATTGTTGTAACTATAAACAACCTTTGTCGGTTGTAATTACAATAAACGACAAACAATTGAATTTACCGCCCACACACATTGTAACCTATGTGCGGCAGACTGATCACTTGAATTGACGGGCATGTTGTCATTGTCAAACTCTGGTTAGCCTATCGCCTGGGTCGTTCTTGAATTACAGTGGCATTTGCATCCCTCGTCTTTGCAACCATGAAAAACACTTTAAAATGACAAATTGCCACACATCAATCATGTTTTTGATTAAACAAAGTGAGCCATTTATACTGCAAAACTTGATGTTTATGCATTGTTTAAAGTACTTAGGGAAAGCAAATTGGCTTATCCCAGTAGTAACCCAGAAGAGTTGTAGTGACATGTTTTGGGGATTTAGAAGTTTCTATCTATTTTAAATGCTAGAAAATAAACACAATTATTGTAAATATTTTATATATCTATAAAATCTAATAACTGTTTAAATACTTTTTTTTAAAACAAATATAATGTGTCCCTAGGTTTTATGTCATTGGTGTTGCTGCATGGAAAATCACTCATACAAAGACTTTGAGCATTCCCTCCAGTGGCAAACTGTTATAAGGGAGGGGTCTATATTAAAGAAAATTACTAGCTAATCACACCCTTTTAGTATGTCAATTTGAGGATTCCATTTATAATTTGTGTGCATAAATCCAGTGTCACTTGGTGTTACTCAATTTAAATGAAGGGAAATTACATTGTGATTAATCATATCACTTAAGTCTATTTTTGTAAAGGTTTAATGACCATCTGTGGCCTCCATTTAAGAAAATCCAAATTTACCTAAAATGTATCATTGGTGTTTCTACTCCTACTGGTATCACAATGTTATCATAATAGTCAAAACTATTTAAAGTCATGAAGCTGTCACGGATCGCCCCGGTACTGCTGCTCATTCCGTTCACCAGTTCCGGAGGTCTACGTCACCAGCTTTCTAGGTGTCACTGACATTGATCATTACCACCAACCACGGACTGTCTTGTCTCATTACGCACACCTGGTTCCCATTCCCCCTGATTAGTATGTGTATGTGTATATACAGTGGGGGAAAAAAGTATTTAGTCAGCCACCAATTGTGCAAGTTCTCCCACTTAAAAAGATGAGAGGGGCCTGTAATTTACATCATAGGTACACGTCAACTATGACAGACAAATTGAGAAAAAAAATCCAGATAATCACATTGTAGGATTTTTAATGAATTTATTTGCAAATTATGGTGGAAAATAAGTATTTGGTCACCTACAAACAAGCAAGATTTCTGGCTCTCACAGACCTGTAACTTCTTCTTTAAGAGGCTCCTCTGTCCTCCACTCGTTACCTGTATTAATGGCACCTGTTTGAACTTGTTATCAGTATAAAAGACACCTGTCCACAACCTCAAACAGTCACACTCCAAACTCCACTATGGCCAAGACCAAAGAGCTGTCAAAGGACACCAGAAACAAAATTGTAGACCTGCACCAGGCTGGGAAGACTGAATCTGCAATAGGTAAGCAGCTTGGTTTGAAGAAATCAACTGTGGGAGCAATTATTAGGAAATGGAAGACATACAAGACCACTGATAATCTCCCTCGATCTGGGGCTCCACGCAAGATCTCACCCCGTGGGGTCAAAATGATCACAAGAAAAATCCCAGAACCACACGGGGGGACCTAGTGAATGACCTGCAGAGAGCTGGGACCAAAGTAACAAAGCCTACCATCAGTAACACACTACGCCGCCAGGGACTCAAATCCTGCAGTGCGAGACGTGTCCCCCTGCTTAAGCCAGTACATGTCCAGGCCCGTCTGAAGTTTGCTAGAGTGCATTTGGATGATCCAGAAGAGGATTGGGAGAATGTCATATGGTCAGATGAAACCAAAATATAACTTTTTGGTAAAACCTCAACTCGTCGTGTTTGGAGGACAAAGAATGCTGAGTTGCATCCAAAGAACACCATACCTACTGTGAAGCATGGGGGTGGAAACATCATGCTTTGAGGCTGTTTTTCTGCAAAGGGACCAGGACGACTGATCCGTGTAAAGGAAAGAATGAATGGGGCCATGTATCATGAGATTTTGAGTGAAAACCTCCTTCCATCAGCAAGGGCATTGAAGATGAAACGTGGCTTGGTCTTTCAGCATGACAATGATCCCAAACACACCGCCCGGGCAACGAAGGAGTGGCTTCGTAAGAAGCATTTCAAGGTCCTGGAGTGGCCTAGCCAGTCTCCAGATCTCAACCCCATAGAAAATCTTTGGAGGGAGTTGAAAGTCCGTGTTGCCCAGCGACAGCCCCAAAACATCACTGCTCTAGAGGAGATCTGCATGGAGGAATGGGCCAAAATACCAGCAACAGTGTGTGAAAACCTTGTGAAGACTTACAGAAAACGTTTGACCTGTGTCATTGCCAACAAAGGGTATACAAAGTATTGAGAAACTTTTGTTATTGACCAAATACTTATTTTCCACCATAATTTGCAAATAAATTCATTAAAAATCCTACAATGTGATTTTCTGGATTTTTCTCTCTCAATTTGTCTGTCATAGTTGACGTGTACCCATGATGAAAATTACAGGCCTCTCTCATCTTTTTAAGTGGGAGAACTTGCACAATTGGTGGCTGACTAAATACTTTTTTCCCCCACTGTATATGCGCCCTCTGTTCCCTATTGTCCTTGTCGATTATTGTCCCATGTCCGTTTGTCTCGTGTATTGTGCTCTTGGTATTACGGGTCTCGTCCCGTGTATTGTTTAAAAGGTTTCCACCTCGCTCTTTTGTTTGGGTTACATCCCTGTGTAATATATATATACACACACGTGTTTGTTTTGGGCTTCGTACCTGTTGTTGTTCATGACGTACCTTGTATTGGATGGAGAAAATAAAAACCCTATTACGTATTCCTGTGCCTGTCTTCAAATCCGTATACAACGTGACAGAAGCTGACATATTAGTTGATTTAGAATCGGAAGATTTTCCCAAATACATTGATAAAAAATCATATTTTTTTCTAAATGACACCGCAATTCAAGAACGACCCGCCGACACATGTAGAACGTTCAGCTCCCCGAGAGAACAGGCTACTCTGGCGAATTTCAACAATGAATGGAGAATGGTGCTTGTTTAATAAAGTTATATCAAAGCTGAATCAATGTCTGCAAGATAACATAATGATTCATTAGTATTCTACATAACAGAACCGACTATAATAGCATAACATTAATGTAAGACAGCCACCTAATTTCTTGTGAGATTTTAGGATGATTGTGTGAATGGTCGCATTTTTCACTCATGCGGCCAAAATTACACAGCATGCGCCACTAGGCAAAATATGTGCTTTGATTGAAACAAAAACACAGGTATGCTACAGTTAAGCACCATTGGCTTAAAAATTAACTCACGAAACACTGTACATAATTCAAGAATATCTAAATGCATATTCCCATGTAACTGATTGAGATCTAATGGTTGGCATGCAGATGCAGCATGGGTGTTTCACCAGTAAAACTTGAAGAAATATAATTCACAACTGACAGTGAGTAAAGTGAGAAACGTGAAGGGAGCAGCTACGTAACACATGATGCGCAGAATGTGATACAGCTGTTTAGCTCTAGGGAAGAGGCATCCGGTGGGGGCGGAACAGGGCGGTTAAATTCGGTCATGCAGCCTCTGCCTTTATTTTTCAAGAGCTAATTCAGTTCCTCTCTACTACCTATTCTACTGGTTCAGTTTCTTAATGCTGGTCCTGAGGACCTAGCACTACACTAGCCTCATACAACCAGCCTGATCTTGCGAGCTTACATAAATGATCCGTGTAGCAAATAATTTATGTAAGCTTGTGAGATCAGGCTGGTTGTATGAGGCTAGCACTACACACCTGATTCCACTACTAAACTCATCATCAAACATTTGATCAGTTGAATAAGATGTGTAGTGCTAGGGCAAAAACTAAATTGTGCACTACTTTGGGTCCACTGGACCAGGATTAAGAAACACTGGTCTGGAGTATTACCTCCAGCGTAGACCACCTTCTTCCAGGCCTGTGACTCCAGGACCCTGTCGTGAGGGTAGAAGCCCTGGTTGACCATGAAGAGGATCATGGCCACCGCAGTGACCCGCAGGATCACCATGTTACCTCCGGTCAGAAGAGAGAGACAGGCCAGGATGGCAGAAGAGTAGATACATGGCAGGCCACGGTACATGAAGGGGATGCCTGTAGATGAATAACCACAGAAAGAGAGACATGACCCACATAAGGACTTCTGAATCTGAAATACCCAAAGATTCAAATTTTTTCTAGACTGAACTTCTGAATGGTAAATACACAAAGAGATGTTTCCGTAGACTGTCTATAAATTGATCATGCTATCATTTCAAAGGATACCATGCTTTTTTTTCTGCTTGATGGAGTTCCTTACCGCTGGAGAAGAAGCAGAGTCGGACAATCACAGACAGGACATAGCACATGCACAGGATGTTGTCCATTAAGGCATGTGTCCTCAGGAGCAATGAAGTTGCAATCCCAAAGGTTGTGAAATCTGCAAAATCATCCAGTTTAGCCCCTGAACCAGAAAGACAGGAAGTGACTAGTTATACATTTGTCTCATGACTTAAATCACACAGATCACAGATCAACATGCTACTGATGTGAGGCTAGTTTACTGCTAATGCCTTCTTACATAAGGCAAAACAAGTTTATCTAATCTTGTTTATGCCAATGGCCTACTTCTCGGTGTGTGTGAGTGTATGTGCGCGTATGTGTGTTTGTCTGTAGTGGACATTTTGGTGTCAGCCTTATAGGCCTGCCACTTTCCTCTGTAAACAACATTCCCAAATGCCACAGTCTATTTGTCCCCCCTGAGTAGGGAGCATGTTTTCACCAAGCGGCGAGCATGAGGTGATTCTGACCCCAGCTCCAATGAACGAGATGGAATTCCACAGCACAGGGGTCAACAATTCTAGCAATTTCAGATATGCTGAGGGCCCAAAGCATTGGGATAAAACAGACAATTGGAGCATGATCCCCCCGAATTAGACTGCTTAAATCGGAAAGTAATTGTTCAATTGACACAAAAAGGGGGGTACAACAACACCCACCTGCAAAGTCATGCAGAAAAATACTGTCGGGACACAAAGCCAAAGCCCTTGAAATGTCCGGGTGACGACGCATTGTGGTGCACCTGCTGGGAGCTATTTCAGGCAGCAGTGGTGACCACGGTAGTGTAGACGTGACTATCTGCACACAGGAGGTTGTCATGTACAAAGTATGTACTTTTATGTTGTGATCATTGGAGAATGTGCTGTGTCGGGTACAATTTGAGTATGCTTAAAAGTTTGCTATAATCAACATAGTTTTTACAAATGGAAACGTTAGCTATGTCTTTAAAATAGCCCTACGGCTGAGGCAATTCAACAATGACATGGAGCCATTGCAATGCAGAGAAGATAATTTATTGAACTACATACAAAGATAGAAGCAGATCAGAACAACAAGACAGAGATAGAAGCAGATCAGGATAGCAAAGTGACAGCAAGTACACAATGCAACTCAACGTTCTTTGGTTTGCTGTCTTTTAGGTGCCTTTTGGAATCTCCCTGTCATTTAAGAGTGTTTTTATGGGGTCTTCAGAAGGAAAACCAGTTCCCTGCTGTCACTTACAGTGCATTCGGAAAGTATTCATACCACTTGACTTATTCCACATTTTGTTGTGTTACAGCCTGAATTCAAAATCAATAAAAAAACAATCTCACCCATTTACACCCAATATTCCATAATGACCATGAAAAACATGTTTTTAGAAATGTTTGCACATTTATTGAAAATAAAACACAGAAATCTCATGTACATAAGTATTCAAACCACTGAGTCAATACATGTTAGAATCACCATTTGGCAGCAATTACAGTTGTGAGTCTTTCTGGGTAAGTCACTAAGAGCTTTGCACACCTGATATATATATATATATATATATATATATATATACAGTGCCCTCCACTATTATTGGCACCCCTGTTTAAGATGTGGTCGAGGACTTCCAAAAATTCTCCTTTTTTTTTAAACAACATAGAACCCAAATGCAAAAAAAGAGAAAAATCCAACCTTTTATTTAAGTACATTACTTTGGTGGTAAAAAAAAAAAATCACACATTTAGAAAAAAAAAAACTTGAAATCATGTGTCCCACAATTATTGGCACCCCTAACAATTCCGCTGAAAATTTTAATTGATTTTTTTTTAAATATATTTTTCTGTAGTTGCTAAAGTTGGTCAGGGTATCTAGGAACTTTTAATTAGTAATTCATGACTTCCTGTTTCCCTGGGGTATAAATATGACGTGACACAGAGGCCTAATTCTCTTACCCATTTGTCAACATGGCAAAGACAAGAGAACACACAATTCAAGTAAGGCAGATTTGTGTCGACCTTCATAAGTCAGGCAATGGCTACAAGAAAATAGCCACTCGCCTTAACTTGCCCGTATCTACAGTCAGAGGAATCATTAAGAAGTTTAAAACAACTGGAACAGTGACAAACAAGGCTGGAAGAGGTCCCAAGTTTATCTTGCCACAACGCACAGTGAGGAGGATGGTAAGATAAGTAAAAAAAAGTCCTAAGCTCACTGTCACAGAATTGCATCAAAGAGTTGCATCTTGGGGTCACAAAGTCTCCAAAACAACCATCAGACGCTCTCTACATGCCAACAAGCTGTTTGGGAGGCATGCAAGGAAAAAGCCTTTTCTCACTAACACTCACAAACGTAAACGTCTGGAGTTTGCTAAGCGGCACTGGGACTTCAACTGGGATCGTGTGCTTTGGTCAGATGAGACTAAGATTGAGCTTTTTGGCAACAAACACTCTAAGTGGGTCTGGTGTAAAACAAAAGATGAGTATGCTGAAAAGCACCTCATGCCCACCGTGAAGTATGGTGGAGGATCTGTGATGCTGTGGGCCTTTTTCTCTTCCAAAGGCCCTGGGAACCTTGTTAGGGTGCATGGCATTATGAACGCTTTGAACTACCAGGACATTTTAAATAAAAACCTGATGGCCTCTGCCAGAAAGCTGAAGATGGGTCGTCATTGAGTCTTTCAGCAGGATAATGATCCAAAACATGTGGCAAAATCTACACAAAAATGGTTCAGCAGTCACAAACTCAAGGTCCTCCCATGGCCATCTCAGTCCCCAGACCTCAACCCAATCGAAAACCTGTGGGGCGAGCTAAAGAGGAAAGTGCATAAGAGAGGACCCAGGACACTGGATGATCTAGAAAGATTGTGCAAAGAAGAATGGTCAAAGATCCCTCTCTCTGTGTTCTCCAATCTTGTGAAATGTTATAGGAGGAGATTAAGTGCTGTCTTGTTGGCAAAAGGGGGTTGTACAAAGTATTAACATCAGGGGTGCCAATAATTGTGGGACACATGATTTCAAGTGTTTTTTTTTTCTAAATGTGTGATTTTTTTTTTTACACCAAAGTAATGTACTTAAATAAAAGGTTGGATTTTTCAATTTTTTTGCATTTGGGTTCTATGTTGTTTAAAAAAAAAGGAGAATTTTTGGAAGTCCTCGACCACATCTTAAACAGGGGTGCCAATAATTGTGGAGGGCACTGTATATATATATATATTTTTTTAGGGGGTTGTTGATCATTGGTAGACAGCCATTTTCAAGTCTTCCCATAGATTTTGAAGCCGATTTAAGTCAAAACTGTAACTAGGCCACTCAGGAACAATCAATGTCCTCTAGGTAAGCAACTCCAGCATATATTTGGCATTGTGTTTTAAGTTATTGTCCTGCTGAAAGGTGAATTCATCTCCCAGTGTCTGGTGGAAAGCAGACTGAAGCAGGTTTTCCTTTAGGATTTTGCTTGTGCAGCATGCAGGTTTTAGAATATTTGTATTCTGTATAGGCTTCCTTCTTTTCACTTTCATTTAGGTTAGTATTGTGGAGTAACTACAATGTTGTTGATCCATCCTCAGTTTTCTCCTATCACAGCCATTAAACTCTAACTGTTTTAAAGTCACCATTAGTGAAATCCCTGACCGGTTTCCTTCCTCTTCGGTAACGGAGTCAGGAAGGACGCCTGTATCTTTGTAGTGACTGGGTGTATTGTTACACCATCCAAAGTGTCATTAATAACTTCACCATCCTCAAAGGGATATTCAATGTCTGCTTTTTTTTACCCTACCAATAGGTGCCCTTCTTTGCGAGGCAATGGAAAACCTCCCTGGTATTTGTGGTTGAATCTGTGTTTGAAATTCACTGCTCGACTGAGGGACCTTACAGATAATTTTATGTGTGGGGTACAGAGATGAGGTAGTCATTCAAAAATCATGTTAAACACTATTAATGCACGCAGTAAGTACATGCAACTTAAGCAAATGTTTACTTCTGAAATTATTTAGGCTTGCCATAACAAAGTGGTTGAATACTTGACATTTTATATGAATTTGTAAAAATGTCTAAAAACATAATTCCACTTTGACATTATGGGGTATTGTGTGTAAACCAGTGATACAAAATCTCAATTTAATCCATTTTAAATTCAGGCTGTATCACAACAAAATGTGGAAAAAGTGAATACTTTCTGAAGGCACTGTATCTACACTTCCAAAAGGTTTCTTCGGCTGTCCCCATAGGATAACCCTTTTTGGTTCCATGTAGAACCCTCTGTGGAAAGGGTTCTACCTGGAACCAAAAGGGTTCTACCTGGGGGGAAAAAGAGATCTTCAAAGGGTTCTCCTATAGGGACAGCCAAAGAACCCTTTTAAGTTCTAGATAGCAACTTTTTTTCCTAAGAGTGTATGCTGATCTGCTTCTACCTCTGTAAAATATGTAATTAGGTCAGTAAATTATCTTCTCTGCATTATACATGCCTCCTTTTTCTGTCTTTTAAGGAGTAACTGTTGCCTTTTAGGCCATTTGATCCATCAGCTATAATGACCAGTGCCTGTAGTAGAGGGCTGGGCTGTGTGCATCACTAGCCTGGTTCCAGATGTTTGTGTGGTCTTGCCCTCTCATAGTCATTTTCACAACTAACATGTTTCAGGCTAGTGCATCATCAGTGTCTCAGTCGAAGTTTAGCCCTTGCCAGAGGTAATGGACACCACTCAACTCACCTAGTGCAGAGCATGCATCCAGTCGCCTGGCAACTGCCCCGTCTGCCAAATCCAGCAGGTAGCCAATCAGGACCAGCCAGCAGGCAGCATGTTGGTGGCTGAAAAATGAGGGTCAAATATTGGGTAGCATCTTATTTTACAATACAGAAATCACTAGGTACTTACTAAGACATTACATGATAAAACTGTAAATACACAGTTATAACCTACGCATTACTTGTTTGTTACCACAGGACTTACTTAGGACAATGTCGCACACCACGAGGGCTGCTTTGTTGGCAAAAGATATACTGTATCTTCTACTTACTTAGCTTCTTACTTAGGGCTTGTCATGCCATATACATTTCATATACACTCACTGGCCAGTTCACGAAAATGGTTCGCTCCTAAAGACAGTGAGTCAAGTGGCTGTGGCTTGCTACATAAAGCAGGCAGATATTGAGGCATTCAGTTACTGTTTGATTGAACATTAGAATGGGCAAAACGAGTAACCTATGCGACTGAGCGTGGTATGATCGTCAGTGCCAGGCACGCAGATTCCAGTATCTCAGAAACGGCTGGCCTCCTGGGTTTTTCACGCACGACAGTGTCTAAGGCAGGGGTCTCCAACAGGTTGATCGTATAATAATGGCAGTAAGACCAAGACAGGTCCAGGTTTATGACCAGGGGTCTCCAACAGGTTGATCATATAATAATGGCAGTAAGACCAAGACAGGTCCAGGTTTATGACCAGGGGTCTCCAACAGGTTGATCGTATAATAATGGCAGTAAGACCTAGACAGGTCCAAGTTTATGACCAGGGGTCTCCAACAGGTTGATCTCGAGCTACCAGTAGTTGTTCACAGCCCAGCCCACCTATGAGTAGCTCACAAAACAATTCTTAAAATACATGTAATTTGCACGTGTTCCACCGCAAACTGTGATAAACAAATCTCACAGCTACTATCTAATCAACGCAATATTTACATTATCCCACCCCTGGTTAGCCACTATTGGCTTAAAAAGCTAAACCTAACACAATAACTGCCAATTCATTTCCAGCAATATAGCCCCTGTCTGTCTGTGTGGTGTGCACATTTGCCTATCACTCCGTGTGTAGCCAGTTGAAGTGATAACCGCCTCGTGGGTTGACAGAAATACTTTCCCCAAAACCTTCTCAATTAAATGTTAACTGCAAAGTAGGCTTACTTGGCAGAAGTATATCATGAGTAAGTACAATATATCATTTGTACCGGTTATTTGCAAACTTTTCCATGAAATGAGCAGCAGTCCAGAACGTCGCTAGACCGGCACATTAAAAGTGCACATTACGGGGGGGGGGGGGGGGGGGGGGGGGACAAAATGGCGCTGTAGAGAGAACACCGTGTTTCAGCGAGCTCCCGTGGCATTCGTTAATTTCTCTCTTTATATTCATTTTCTAGCTTGAAAAAGTGATAGAATGTGTCTTGACGGCTATTTCTCCAAAGTTTCCGACAACATGCCCAATAGAACTACTAAGAACTCAACCAAAACCACCACCCCTGTAGATGTGTAGGAGGCACTTACTAATGTTAGCGAAGCTAATGCCATTGCGGATTAAGGAACAATGGACCAGGTGATTCAAAGGATGACTGATAACATTACTAAAGTGATTGATGTCAAGATAGGAACGGTCTTGGAAGCAATAGCAGGCCATTCAGCTTAACTACAGAAGGTTGTCAAGCGTGTTGATGAAGCAGAAGGAAGAATTGCTACTGTGGAAACTTCAACTAAATCAATGGACACTAAGATAAAGGCACTTGAGAGACTGGTGCACGAAATGGCAGACCACATTGATGACTTGGATAATCGAGGGCGCAGATGCAATATCCGTGTGGTGGAACTCCCGGAAAATACTGAAGGGACACGTTCAGTTAAATTCTTTGAAGAATGGATTCCTGGCTACCTACAAATAGATACTAAGGCTGGACGTGTGAAGCTGGATAGAGCCCATCGCTCTCAAGCACTGATACCCGGTCCCAACCAGCGCCCACGTCAGTGGTTATAAAGTTCCACAACTTCACCGACAAGCAGCGCGTCATGGATGTGGCCAGACGCATCGGATCTGACGGTATTCAACGTCAAGGTCCAAGGATCTCATTCTTCAATGATTACTCCATGGCGGTTGTACGAAGACGCAAGGCGTTTGAGGTGGTGAATGTTCGACTCAAGAGAATGAAGATGGATTACGCATGCTGTACCCGGCCATATTGAAGATTGTGGTCAACGGTTCACCTAAGAAGCTCTACACACCTGAAGAGGCTGCTGCGTTTATTGACTCTCTAGGGTAAATAACTTTACGCTGCGCTTTTGCAGCATTGGATAACTTTTTTATTCAAATCTGATCATGAAGCAGTGATGTTCAGTAATATTTTTTTACAAATAATTTTCCTTGCTAAAGTAACTGCCACCATAGCTCAGAATGAGATCTGTGTGAATCTATATTGGTGCCCATGTTTGGTTTTAGGTGGAAGAGCCTCAATCTTCTTTTATTGATTTTCATATATACAGTGCCTTGCAAAAGTATTCATCCCCCTTGGCATTTTCACTATTTTGTTGCATTACAACCTGTAATTTAAATAGATTTTTATTTGGATTTCATGTACTGGACATACACAAAATAGTCAAAATTGGTGAAGTGAAATTAAACAAATAACTTGTTTCAAAGAATTCTAAAAAATAAATAGCGGAAAAGTGGTAAGTGCATATGTATTCACCCCCTTTGCTATGAAGCCCCTAAATAAGATCTGGTGCATCCAATTACCTTCAGAAGTCACATAATTAGTTAAATAAAGTCGACCTGTGTGCAATCTAAGTGTCACATGATCTGTCACATGATCTCAGTATATATACACACACACCTGTTCTGAAAGGCCCCAGTAACAAGGGGCACCACCAAGCAAGCGGTACCATGAAGACCAAGGAGCTCTACAAACAGGTCAGGGACAAAGTTGTGGAGAAGTACAGCTCAGGGTTTAAAAAATGGAAAGAATATGGCACCACAACAAACCTGCCAAGAGAGGGCCACCCACCAAAACCCACGGACCAGGCAATGAGGGCATTAATCAGAGGCAACAAAGAGACCAAAGATAACCCTGAAGGAGCTGCAAAGCTCCACAGCGGAGATTGGAGTATCTGTCCATAGGACCACTTTAAGCCGTACACTCCAGAGCTGGGCTTTACGGAAGAGTGGCCAGAAAAAAGCCTTTGCTTAAAGAAAATAATAAGCAAACACGTTTGGTGTTCACCAAAAGGCATGTGGGAGACTCCTCAAACATATGGAAGAAGGTACTCTGAGACTAAATTTGAGCTTTTTGGCCATCAATGAAAACGCTATGTCTGGTGCAAACCCAACACCTCTCATCACCCTGAGAACACCATTCCAAAACAAAATTTTTTTTATCAGCAGGTACTGGGAAACTGGTCAGAATTGAAGGAATGATGGAATGGCGCTAAATACAGGGAAATTCTTGAGGGAAACCTGTTTCAGTATTCCAGAGATTTGAGACTGGGACGGAGGTTCACCTTCCAGCAGGACAATGACCCTAAGCATACTGCTAAAGGGGAAACATTGTAATGTCTTGGAATGGCCTAGTCAAAGCCCAGACTTTAATCCAATTGAGAATCTGTGGTATGACTTAAAGATTGCTGTACACCAGCGGATCCCATCCAACTTGAAGGAGCTGGAGCAGTTTTGCCTTGAAGAATGGGCAAAAATCCCAGTGGCTAGATATGCCAAGCTTATAGAGACATACCCCAAGATACTTGCAGCTGTAATTGCTGCAAAAGGTGGCTCTACAAAGTATTGACTTTGGGGAGGGGGGGTGAATAGTTATGCACGCTCAAGGTCTTGTTTGTTTCATAATACAAAATATTTTGCATCTTCAAAGTCATAGGCATGTTGTGTAAATCAAATGTTACAAACCCCCCAAAAAATCTATTTTAATTCCAGGTTGTAAGGCAACAAAATAGGAAAAATGTCAAGGGGGGTGAATACTTTTGCAAGCCAATGTATAAAGGATGAGGCTATAGAGTGGTTATGCAGACTTAAGAGTCTACATTGGAGAGTTGAAATCCCCTGCATGTTAGCTAGCGGGAAAACCCCCCTTTGGATCTTTACATATTTATTTTTCGGCTGTAGTATAGTTCGGGTTCAGGGTTCATATACAGTGGGGAAAAAAGTATTTAGTCAGCCACCAATTGTGCAAGTTCTCCCACTTAAAAAGATGAGAGAGGCCTGTAATTTTCATCATAGGTACACGTCAACTATGACAGACAAATTGAGGAAAAAAAATCCAGAAAATCACATTGTAGGATTTTTAATGAATTTATTTGCAAATTATGGTGGAAAATAAGTATTTGGTCACCTACAAACAAGCAAGATTTCTGGCTCTCACAGACCTGTAACTTCTTCTTTAAGAGGCTCCTCTGTCCTCCACTCGTTACCTGTATTAATGGCACCTGTTTGAACTTGTTATCAGTATAATAGACACCTGTCCACAACCTCAAACAGTCACACTCCAAACTCCACTATGGCCAAGACCAAAGAGCTGTCAAAGGACACCAGAAACAAAATTGTAGACCTGCACCAGGCTGGGAAGACTGAATCTGCAATAGGTAAGCAGCTTGGTTTGAAGAAATCAACTGTGGGAGCAATTATTAGGAAATGGAAGACATACAAGACCACTGATAATCTCCCTCGATCTGGGGCTCCACCCAAGATCTCACCCCGTGGGGTCAAAATGATCACAAGAACGGTGAGCAAAAATCCCAGAACCACACGGGGGGACCTAGTGAATGACCTGCAGAGAGCTGGGACCAAAGTAACAAAGCCTACCATCAGTAACACACTACGCCGCCAGGGACTCAAATCCTGCAGTGCCAGACGTGTCCCCCTGCTTAAGCCAGTACATGTCCAGGCCCGTCTGAAGTTTGCTAGAGTGCATTTGGATGATCCAGAAGAGGATTGGGAGAATGTCATATGGTCAGATGAAACCAAAATATAACTTTTTGGTAAAAACTCAACTCGTCGTGTTTGGAGGACAAAGAATGCTGAGTTGCATCCAAAGAACACCATACCTACTGTGAAGCATGGGGGTGGAAACATCATGCTTTGGGGCTGTTTTTCTGCAAAGGGACCAGGACGACTGATCCGTGTAAAGGAAAGAATGAATGGGGCCATGTATCGTGAGATTTTGAGTGAAAACCTCCTTCCATCAGCAAGGGCATTGAAGATGAAACGTGGCTGGGTCTTTCAGCATGACAATGATCCCAAACACACCGCCCAGGCAACGAAGGAGTGGCTTCGTAAGAAGCATTTCAAGGTCCTGGACTGGCCTAGCCAGTCTCCAGATCTCAACCCCATAGAAAATCTTTGGAGGGAGTTGAAAGTCCGTGTTGCCCAGCGACAGCCCCAAAACATCACTGCTCTAAAGGAGATCTGCATGGAGGAATGGGCCAAAATACCAGCAACAGTGTGTGAAAACCTTGTGAAGACTTACAGAAAACGTTTGACCTGTGTCATTGCCAACAAAGGGTATATAACAAAGTATTGAGAAACTTTTGTTATTGACCAAATACTTATTTTCCACCATAATTTGCAAATAAATTCATTAAAAATCCTACAATGTGATTTTCTGGATTTCTTTTTCTCATTTTGTCTGTCATAGTTGACGTGTACCTATGATGAAAATTACAGGCCTCTCTCATCTTTTTAAGTGGGAGAACTTGCACAATTGGTGGCTGACTAAATACTTTTTTTCCCCACTGTAGTTTGTTTACGCTCGGTGAGAATGGGGAGAGTTCAACATGACATTTTAGCAGACGCTCTTATCCAGAGCGACTTACAGTTAGTGAGTGCATATATTTTTATACTGGCCCCCCGTGGGAAACGAACCCACAACCCTTATGTAAATAAGGTACCACCCTATCTTTACAGTAGGATTCAGTCTGCATATTGGTTGGTCAAAATGCAATAATAATAAGACTGCGTTTATGTACATGGAACGTTAGAGGGAGCCATAACCCCATTAAAAGGTACAATATTTTTTGAAAAAAGAAAATATTGATATTGCTCTGTTGCAAGAAACTTATTTGGATGATAAGGAGCATCTGAAATTGCAACAAGGGGGGTTTGGTCAAGTGTTTTTCTCATCATTTACATCCAGAAGTAGAGGTGTGGCAATTATTGTGAAAAAGAACCTACCACTTAAGGTGTTGAATTGTGTGAAAGATAAATTTGGTCGTTTTGTTAAAATTAAAAGTACTTTACAAGGGCAGAACATTTCCATAATGAATATTTACTGTCCCCCTGCCCACCCCCCTGATTTACTCACTAAGGTATTTCTAGACTTCTCAGAATTAAACTCAGACACCGCAGTGGTTGGAGGAGATTTTAATTGTTTGTTGAACCCCCTTATTTACAAGTTTCCCAGTGGCATAGCTTCACCCTCTCCTCAAGCTAGGTCGCTTGAAGCTATTTGTGATGATCTGGGGTATGCTGATGTTTGGAGAACCTTTCATCCCTCCAACAGAGAGTTCACCTTTTTCTCTGCACCTCATGGATGTCAGACTAGAATAGATTACTTTTTTATGCCCAGGACGTCTTTGCAGTCTGTCGTATCTGCTAATATAGGAAGCATAGTCATATCTGATCATGCTGAGGTGATCCTGGACATAAAACTCAGTGGCACTCAATCCATCAAGACATTGGAGATTGAATACAACCATTCTTAAAGACCATACATTTACGTCATATTTTATTACAGAGTTTAAAGCATTTTTCTCTATTAACTCTCAATCAACATATAACCGCTCACTCATTTGGGAAACCTGTAAAGCGTACACCAGGGGTCTGATTACGTCATACTCAGCCCCTAAGAGGCGTAAAAAATGCGAAAAGCAATAAACGTTAGAGGGTGAATTAGGAACTAAAGAGAAGGACTACATTAAAATTCCCACTCCTGCCCTATTAAAGGAAATATCAGTCCTTAGATCAATGTTGGACTCTCTCCTAACACAGGACACTGAAAAGAAAATGAGATTTGTCAGGCAAAAGCTTTATGAACATCGCGATAAACCAGGAAAATATTTGGCGTACCTAGCTAAAAAGAGAGCTGACTCCCAGTCAATTGCTACTATTACTGATTCTGATAGCAACCATTTATATGAAAATAAATAGATAAATTAAGGAATGTTATGCAAATCTTTATGCCTCAGAACTGACAAATGATGCACCCAAACTAATGGAGGACTTTGATTGCGCTCCCTACTATTTCCAAAGAACAGAGGTCTCTCCTTAATGCCCCTAGAAGAGATGCTTGCAATTAAGAGTCTTCAAAATAGTAGGGCCCCAGGACCAGACGGGTTTTGTAGTGAGTTCTATAAGGAGTTCCATGGCCTTATCCTTGAGCCATTGCTTGATATGTTTAACTACTCATTTTCATATGACCACCTCCCTCAAACGCTGAGGGAAGCCAACATATCACTTATTCTCAAAAAGGGAAAATGCCCAGAGTCTTGTTCTTCGTACAGACCCATTGCCCGTCTGAATGTGGATAGAAAATTGCTTTCTAAAATCCTAGCCACATGACTAGAGGACTTATTGCCACTAATTGTGAAAGGGGACCAAACTGGCTTCATTAAGGGCCGTAAGTCATGTAACAATGTCAGGTGGCTTCTTAATGTTATTCAAACCTATCAACAAAGTGCTATGGATGGTCTTGTGCTCTCCCTAGATGCTGAGAATACATTTGACCTGGAGGGGTCCTACCTATTCTTTGCTCTGACTAAATTTGGTCTAGGGGACAACTTTATAAAATGGGTTAAGGTTTTATATGATGACCCTCAGGCTGCTGTCCTTACTAATGGGCTAAGGTCAAATAGCTTCTCCACACACAGAGGTACGAGGCAGGGCTGTCCTTTGTCCCCTCTCCTATTTGCACTCACTATGGAACCACTGGCCGAGGCCATCAGAGTAACGCCTGCTATACAGGGTCTGCTCATTGGTGATGTTCATCATAAAATATGCTTGTATGCTGATGATGTTCTGATATTCATCTCTAGCCCCGAGATTTCAATTACATCTCTTGTTAATATTATTGAATTATTCAGTGAATTCTCAGGCTACAAGATAAATTGAACTAAATCAGCGGGTATGCCACTTGGTAGTCTTAGCTCTGTACCTACTACCTCTCCCCCCTTTCCTTTTAAATGATCTCCCTCAGGGTTTACGTATCTGGGTATATTCCTAACTCCTAAATTCCAGCAAATGTACAAAGCCAATTTTGTTCCCTTGTTTAATACAATAAGACAGGATCTGGAGAGCTGGAACTCTTCCGATATCATGGTTAGGTAGAATATCCCTCTTGAACATTTACATTTGACCTATACTACTTTACCCAATCCAAATGATCCCAGTCTTACTTTCCAATAAGGTAATAAAATATTTAAATGGCTGGTTTAGTTCGTTCATACGGAGTAAATGCTAGCTAAGGCTTAAGATGGCAATATTGCAGCTGCCAGGTTCTATGGGCGTCTTGGATCTGCCCAATATTAGGTTTTATTAGTGGTGTGCCCACTTATGTTATATTTCTGACTGGATCACAAATGATGACTCCTCTATTTGGTTAGACATTGAGACTTCTTTTTCAAAATACCCCTTGCAGGATCTTTTATTTTTCAGAAGTTTCAAGTCTGTAAATGATCACTGCAATAATTCCATTACACTTAACACACTCAAAGGATGGAGGTCAGTTCAACATTTTTTGGGAAGGTCCAAACTAACCCCTGCTCTTACCCCAATTCTTAACAACCCAGCTTTTTTTCATTTGGCTTAATAAGGGCATATGCAGACTAAATGATTTATTTGCTGATAAGATTTTATTGTCATTTGAGCAGATGGTTGAGAAATATTGACTCCCAAAGCAGGACTTTTTCCACTTTCTACAAGAAAGACACTATATTTTGAAGAGCACCACCTTGATTGGCAACCCTGATGTGTCTGTCATTGAAAGAATGCTTTTTCTCTCACAAAGGAAAATGTCTCTAAGTTTGTTTTATGATGCTTTAAGGTCATTTTCTATTGTTGACACACAGAGGGTGAAGCGACTGTGGGATAAATAGTTGTCTGTTACTATTGATGAGGTGATGTGGGAGGACATTTGGAGATATGCAAAAACAATATCTATCTGTACTCGTCCTAGAGCAATCCAATTAAGAATAATACACAGATTGCATATATCCCCAAATCGCAGACATGCTTTTTGTCCATCCTCCTCCTCCTCTCCTCAGTGTCTTTAAATGTAAAATTGATACAGGCACCCTAACACATTGTTTATGGTCATGTTCCAAATTACAAAGATACTGGTCTAATGTTCTTCAAGAAATTGAAAAAATCCTAGGGGCGACCTAGAATTGGATCAAGTTTCTTTGCTGTTAGGTCTCCCTAGTAGGCATGTTACTTCTGTGGGTAAGAGGAGGCTTCACAACATCCTTACCTTCGCAACGAGGAAAAACATCTTCTTACAGTGGATTAGTGACAAGGTCCCGTCTATTAAAGATTGGCATAAGATACTATTTGAATGGGTGCCATTGGAATATCTGACATGTACATTACATTCTAAAACTGATCAGTTCTACAAAGTATGGGAACCTTATTTAAATGACCTAGAACCTGATTTATCAGCTATTATGCTGCAAGGATTTTTCTTAGAATGGTGATTGTTTACTTGTCTCAGGATTACAGTGTACGTTCCATGTGTTGGACCTAATTCCTTTATTTAAACTGAGCTTTTGTGTTTAATTTCTGTCTGTATGTTTGTTTAATTGTATGTGTATATATATATATATATATATATATATATATATATATATATATATATACACATACATACATACATACATACACACACACACACACACAATGGGGAGAACAAGTATTTGATACACTGCCGATTTTGCAGGTTTTCCTACTTACAAAGCATGTAGAGGTCAAAAATCCAGAATATCACATTGTATGATTTTTAAGTAATTAATTTGCATTTTATTGCATGACATAAGTATTTGATCACCTACCAACCAGTAAGAATTCCAGCTCTCACAGACCTGTTAGTTTTTCTTTAAGAAGCCCTCCTGTTCTCCACTCATTACCTGTATTAACTGCACCTGTTTGAACTTGTTACCTGTATAAAAGACACCTGTCCACACACTCCAACCTCTCCACAATGGCCAAGACCAGAGAGCTGTGTAAGGACATCAGGGATAAAATTGTAGACCTGCACAAGGCTGGGATGGGCTACAGGACAATAGGCAAGCAGCTTGGTGAGAAGGCAACAACTGTTGGCGCAATTATAAGAAAATGGAAGAAGTTCAAGATGACGGTCAATCACCCTCAGTCTGTGGCTCCATGCAAGATCTCATCTCGTGGGGCATCAATTATCATGAGGAAGGTGAGGGATCAGCCCAGAACTACACGGCAGGACCTGGTCAATGACCTGAAGAGAGCTGGGACCACAGTCTCAAAGAAAACCATTAGTAACACACTACGCCGTCACGGATTAAAATCCTGCACGGCACGCAAGGTCCCCCTGCTCAAGCCAGTGCATGTCCAGGCCCGTCTGAAGTTTGCCAATGACCATCTGGATGATTCAGAGGAGGAATGGGAGAAGGTCATGTGGTCTGATGAAACAAAAATAGAGCTTTTTGGTCTAAACTCCACTCGCTGTGTTTGGAGGAAGAAGAAGGATGAGTACAACCCCAAGAACACCATCCCAACCGTGAAGCATGGACGTGGAAACATCATTCTTTGGGGATGCTTTTCTGCAAACGGGACAGGACGACTGCACCGTATTGAGGGGAGGATGGATGGGGCCATGTATCGCGAGATCTTGGCCAACAACCTCCTTCCCTCAGTAAGAGCATTGAAAATGGGTTGTGGCTGGGTCTTCCAGCATGACAACGACCCGAAACACACAGCCAGGGCAACTAAGGTGTGGCTCCGTAAGAAGCATCTCAAGGTCCTGGAGTGGCCTAGCCAGTCTCCAGACCTGAACCCAATAGAAAATCTTTGGAGGGATCTGAAAGTCCGTATTGCCCAGCGACAGCCCTGAAACCTGAAGGATCTGGAGAAGGTCTGTATGGAGGAGTGGGCCAAAATCCCTGCTGCAGTGTGTGCAAACCTGGTCCAAGACCTACAGGAAACGTATGATCTCTGCAAACAGGAAACGTACAGGAAACGTATGATCTCTCTAATTGCAAACAAAGGTTTCTGTACCAAATATTATGTTCTGCTTTTCTGATGTATCAAATACTTATTTCATGCAATAAATTGCAAATGAATTACTTAAAAATCTTAGAATGTGATTTTCTGGATTTTTGTTTTAGATTCTGTCTCTCACAGTTGAAGTGTACCTATGATAATAATTACAGACCTCTACATGCTTTGTAAGTAGGAAAACCTGCAAAATCGGCAGTGTATCAAATACTTGTTCTCCCCACTGTATATAAACATCTTTGTTATTGTATCTCTTAATATGAGAGAAAATTGTGAAATTCCAATAAAAATACTGTTACAAAAGAAAGTGCACATTCCTCACTCGCTAGATGCACAATTAAAGAGCGAGATGCACAATTAAAGAGCGAGATGCACAATTAAAAGAGGAATTACCAAAGAAATATATAATCATTTTGAGAGTGAAAATCAAAAAGTCTAAAACCACAAAAAAGTTAACTGAGAACATAATTTGGGAAAATATAAAGCATAATTTGGGATAAATATATTTTTTAGGTTTTATAGTGCCCCCTTAGAGTAGTTTATTAACCATTATTTTACCAGGTATATTGACAGAAAATAGTGTGCAAGAGAACCCGGGGAAGAGTTGCAGGGGAGAGAAGAATGTGCCCATTTGAAAGCAAAAATGTGTAGCTCGTGACAAGTAGCTCGCATGCTAGAAAAGGTTGGAGACCCCTGGTCTAAGGTTTACCGAGAATGGTGCGATAAACAAAAAAACATCAGTGGCAATTTCGTTGATGAGAGGTAGAAAGAGAATGGCAAGAATCGTGCAAGCTAACAGGCGGGCCACAAACAGGCAAATAACAGCGCAATACAACAGTGGTGAGCAGAACGGCATCTCGGAACGCACAACTCGTTGGTCCTTGTCACGGATGGGCTTTTGCATCAGATGACCACACCAGGTTCCCCTCGTCTCAGCTAAAACCAAGAAGAAGTGGCTCCAGTGGGCAAGCGATCACCAACACTGGACAATTGAGGAGTGGAAAAACATTGCCTGGTCCAACGAATCCCGGTTCCTGTTGCGTCATGCTGATGGCAGAGTCAGTATTTGGCGTACGCAGCATGAGTCCATGGCCCCATCCTGCCTGGTGACAATGGTACAGGTTGGTGGCAGTGGTATTTTCTGGAACACGTTAGGTCCCTTGATAATTGAGCAATGTTTGAATGCCACACCTTGTAGAATCTATGCCCCGAAGAATTCAAGCTGTTCTGGAGGCACAGGGGGGTCTGACCCGGTACTAGATAGGTATACCTAAAACTGGCCACCGAGTGTATATTATTTAACTTCAATAACGCTTCAAGGGTGGTGTTTGAAGTGTGCTGTATAATGTTTTAGAGCTGAAGGCCAGATGACCTGACCTTGATAAGCTGCTTGTATTAATCTTGGTCTTCCCTCAACAGCTCAGCTTTTTTGGCAGGACCCGCATTTGTGTCAACTGTTAATACAACATTCAAACTTGTTTTGAGAACAATATGCCTCAACACAGATGAGCTATTATGACATAATTCTGCCATTTACAAATCCATTTAGCAGTAGAAACATTATCCATTTAAGCTATACTATAGTTTCTTAAAGAAAATCAGATACTGAAATGTGTGTTCACTCACCCGTTCAGGCTGCAGAGAATGGAGGCCATGCCCATAAGCATGTTGGCCATAGACAGAGCATTGGCTGCATTTTTGCGTACAAACTCCTTGAGCTGGACACCAGTGGCCTGCTCGCTCAGAAAAAGCTTATTGGTGTGCTGGAAGAAACCTGAGAACAGTGAGGACAGTGATTGCTATTAGCTGGTGGTGTATTTTAGGTTCACTTAGCTGCTCTGAAGAGGATTGTAGCTAAAACACTACAGATATGATAGGACCATATCATATCTGACGGCCATACTTAAACTAGTGTACAGTATGTCAAAAGTGCCATCCTGTTTAAACGGATATCTCAAACAAACCAAACACGCGAAACAATCATTGGTATAACAATTTTTTTTGCAAATGATCAGCTTTAACTTGTTTGGCTCATTTGGCTTATTGACTTGCTACTTATGTGGCCCCTCTTCAAGACCAGGACAGCAATCAGCAGCTGTACCAAGATATGGAGAAAAAAAATATGAGTGAAAATTAAAGGGCAACAGTAAAGCCCCATGCACCAACCCTACAGCATTCAACCTACAGTAGTACTTGTAACCAGCAGATTTTGAGTATATGGGAGAACCTAAATAAAATTCCCAAGTGGTTTAGATTGTGCTTCAAAAATTACACAATATAATACTGTTATACAATATTAAATCATGTATTTTGTTATCAAAGAATGAATATTTGCAAAGAAACTTCCTTTTTAATATACAAATTGTACATTATTTACAAACCTATACAAAATGGATTAATGTAGCTAATAAAAAGTAGTAGCACTTACCAAGTAGTATGTACGTTTATTGGAGACCCACCATTCGATAGACTAATCCACTTTTCAGAATAAAACATTCAAATGAGGGGGCTGTCTCAGTATGTACAGTAAACACCATTTGATAGTGTCAATATTGTCAGTCATATTGACGCATTAAATACTTATTTTGCAAATATATAGTACATTTATAGCAGAGAGAGACTGGTGGGGAGGGAGTAAGGGACTGTGCATACATTGTACTATGATTTAGTAATGGACTGTCCACACATAGTACTATAGTAATGGACTATCCTCCACACATAGTACTATAGTAATGGACTATCCTCCACACATAGTACTATAGTAATGGACTATCCTCCACACATAGTACTATAGTAATGGACTATCCTCCACACATAGTACTATAGTAATGGACTATCCTCCACACATAGTACTATAGTGCAACCCTGAGATATTGACTCTACAGGGCTGTTGATTCATTAAGCTGGTTGACTGGCAAAACCAGTGACCTGGAACAATGACAAACACATGGCAGCAACTTTCACATGGATGGGTAGCCATTAAAAAGCATCAATATTTAACAGTTTGCCTGTTTTCTGTCTTTGTCATAGTTTGTGGAAATGTCATGGTAATTACTTGCAAATACAGTTTCCTTATACATTTGTTATTTGGAAACCAAGTACTGTTATATCACAACGTTCCTATCAGAAGTAACTGTATAATACTGAGTAATTCCATTACAGTTATTAAAGTAATCAAATAATGTAAGGGCAATTTAATTTGACTTTCATTTAATTAATAATGACAGAATCTTTAAACATATTGAAAGGCATCATGTATAGGTCATCTTACTTAGCAAGCTGGAAGGTCTAATGATGCAAGCTGCTTCACTATGGCCAGAGCTGTTTTTGTTCCTTGCAATGCTGTGAGGGTTTTTAATTAAGGCAAACAAAGGGATCTTTTTTCTTGAGTGTCTGTGGCTCCACTAGTGAGTTTAGATTTCACACAGAAGTAGCAAAGAGGGTGTCTTCGCAGACAAAGACCCACATACCACTAAATAAAATAAACATAAATAAAAAGGTTACCATAGCAACTTTTTTTTTAAAACTAAAATAGTCTAACAAACTAACGTCTGTACGTGAAAAGGGGTTAAAGTCATGTTCCTACTATTCTGTTTTGCACACAGAACTTCGTGTGATTCCAAAGCCAGTCGAGTTCAACAGACTCTTCATCTGAAAGAAAACAGTGTATGAGACACAGCACAAGCCAACAACAACTTCTTAGAAGAAGTTAAGTTCACTTGACAAGCATGCTTCTCATTTCCGATTTACATTTTACATTACCTGGCTTTCTACAACCTAACCAGAAAACCCAAAATGGTAAACTATGCCGAATCAATAAGCAGTTATATTTACAGTAACTTCCACTAAGCTTTGTCTGTTTAGCCTAGAATGTCAACAAATACTTGAAAATATTGAAATAGTAACCCAGTTAGGACAGAAATACACTTCTTACTCTTCCGGAAAAAGAAAAATAGCCATCTTGTGTTTCACAAGAAAGGATACACCAGGTCTGATCCCTAATCCAGACAGTCAATACTGTCTCACCACTGATAAATACCATCCAAGTATCAAGCCAGAGCTAGACACATTCACACTTTTAAGTTAGTATTTCTGGGCCCATATTCAGTGTCTCTGAGTAGAAGTGCTGATCTAGGACCAGTTTTGCCTTTTAGATTATAATGAATAAGAAAGGGGGGGACCTGATCCTACACTCTTCGGAAAAAAAAGGTGCTACAGTACATCAAGAAAATAAAAAATAAAAAGGATATTGCTGTAGCATTCAATTACAATCTACATAATCACATACAACCTGTATTAACATTAAATTATATATTTAATGTTGATGAGTAACAATATGTATTATCCACTATATCATTTCAAAGTTGACAACTTGCTATAACTCTAAGCTAGTACAAGTAAGTATAAGGGAAAAACCTGATCTCAGATGTGAAAAAACTACACTCACATCCATGTTAACTACAGCACCTAAACACCTCATTATTATTATTATTATTATTATTATCGTCATTATACCTAGTGGCTCATAGCTGTCCTCAACACAGGTTTTCCTCAACACGGCTCTTCACATGCTTGTGTCTGTCTTTGCCTTGACCCTTTGGGGTTGACTATTTCCATCTACTGTATCTACCCTCAAATACTGTATATCTTACAACAGTACTTTATCACTACACTTATAAAACAGGATTTACATTTTCTGAAACAAGTTTTGCATGATTCTTACCAGGGGCTCTAGTGTTGACACAGATCATCAAAACCTTGTCATGCATGTTTGCCCAGGGGCACCCAGAAACAAGCACTTACCAGAGGATGGAGTCAGCAGAATCATGGTTCTCTCTGCGTAAGTCTGCCCACAGCACAGCAGCTGGAAGAAAGTCAACATTTAGGGACTGTTTCCAAGAAACAGATTAAGCCTAGTTCTGGACTGAAAAGCATACTTAATGGAAATAGCATTTTCATTTTAGTTTATTAGGATCCCATTATTTACTGAACATGCAGCAGCTACTCTTCCTGGGGTCCACATAAAATGTACAAATACATGACAAAGTACAGAACAGTTAGACAAGAACATAATAAGATATTACATTTAAAAAAGTATCATTGAAAAAAAAAGTTATTGGAAAGACAGACAACAAAAATGCTATTTACACACCATTCATATATACATATTCTTATATACAGTACAGTTAAATTAGATCTTTAGAAAGGAGAGGCACTGTGATAATGTTTTTGTATACTTTTTTTAAAGCTAAACTTGTTTTTTGCCAGAGTAACCTCTGGTGGCAGAGCATTCCACGATGACTTCATTCGTAACTGAGCGACACATTAAATCTGTTTTTGGTATCGTGAAGAAACACATCGTGGCATGTCTAATGGGGTATGTATGTCTGTTTTAAGTGTATACAAATAGATTATACAAGTGGTTAGGTATTTTCAACACACAAATGTTTCTTAAAAAGACTAGAAGAGAAGTAGTCGATTTCTCCTGAACCTAGAAACCCTATCATGCATGTTGTTGATGTTAGTTCTGTGTGTGCAGTTAAGGGCAAGGCATGCTGCTTTGTTTTGAGCCAGCTGCAGCTTTGCTAGGTCTTTCTTTGCTACACCTGACCATATTACGAACAGTAATCAAGATGAGACAAGATCAGAGCCTGAAAAACTAGTACAGTTGATCTTTGTGTCAAAAACGCAGAACATATTTTTTATAACAGACATACCCCTCCCCATCTTCACAACAACTTTGTCAATATGACTTGACCATGATAACTGACCATCCAATGTTACTCCTAGGAGTTCAGCTTCTTCAACTTGTTCAAAATGGTCACACCCTTTATGCACAACTCCATTTGAGGTTCAGGTCTAAGAGAATGCTTTGAACCAAATACAATGCTTTTGGTTTTAGATGTATTTAAGAACTGTTTATTGTCAATTACCCATTCTGACTAGCTCCTTGCTAAGAGTCTCAGTGAACTCACTGGCTGTAGGTGCTGATGTGTAGAAAGTGCAAACATCAGCATACATAATCATTTTAGCTTGGCAAATCATTTGTGGTAAATAATTTGTAAAAATAGACAAGAGTAACGGCCCAAGGCAACTGCCCTGAGAGATACCCAACTGTACATATCTGATGTTAGAGAAGCAGCTCCAACTATCATCTCATTATTCATTTATTTTAGCCAATCATCAGTCATCTGAGTCAATGCAGTACAAGTTGAGTGCCCTTCCCTATATGCATGCTGAAAGTCAGTAGTTAACTTATTCTTTGAAAAATAGCATTGTATTTGTTAAAAAATTACCTCCATCAGTTTACTATGAACAGGCAGCAAACTGATTGGGTGGCTGTTAGAGCCAGCAAAGGGTGCTTTGCTATTTTTAGGTAGTGGAATTACTTTAGCTTCCTTCCACGCCTGTGGACGGACACACACACAAACACTCCTTTAGGCTTTGGTTAAAAACATGGCAAATAGGGGTGGCAATTCCCAATAGTTTACCATCTAAGTTGTCTATACCTGGTGGCTTATCATTATTGATGCATAACAATTGTTTTTCCACCTCTTCCACACAAACTTGACCAAATTCAAAACAGAAATCCTTCTCTTCCATTATTAGATCTTCAATACACAAATATGATGGTTCACTGTTAAATGTTGTAATTTCACTTCTCAGTTTGTCCACTTCACCAGTGAAACACACATTAAAATGATTGGCTATATCAAAAGGTTTTGTTATCAATGACCCATCAACTTCAAACGACTAGCACACAGCTCAGACACCCATGTATACCTCACAAGACATGCCACCAGGGGTCTCTTCACAGTCCAAGTCCAGAACACTCAGTCCAAGTCCAGAACACATAGAGCCATGACTACATGGAACTCTATTCCACATCAAGTAACTCAAGCAAGCAGTAAAAACTACACCTTATGGAACAACACGGACTGTGAAGAGACACACACATGCCCTTGTTGAGCAATTCCTGTAGGAAGGAGAGAACGGCAGGGATGGAACACTGAAAGGGGACCAACTCTCGTCTCTCACACCACCTCTCGAGTACCCTCCACTTTATGTCATAAAAGGAGCTATGGCACTCTGAATTGTGGCAACCACGTTCGGAGGCAAGCCCACCGAGTTTAAGTTGACCTCTCACGCGCCAGGCCCAGAGAGCCATCAGCTTGGGATGAGGGTGGAATATTTCACCCTGTGCTTGGGATAGCAGATCCCTGCGTTGTGGGAGGCGCCATAGTTGCACGTACAGGAGAGGTACTGTACAATCTCCGCCAGCCATTGCTTCCCAGGCCAATGCGGGGCTATCAGGATGAAGGATAGACTGCTCTCACTCTGTCCAGAGTACGGGGGGGGAATCAGACCCACTGGCGGGAAGGCGTATAGAAGCACGCCTAGAGGAGGGTTGTGATCTCATCACGAATAACAAGCTACAGTGCGCGTTGTCCTGCAATGCGTACAGATTGGCAGCAGCCCTGCCGTAATGTCCCCACACCTTCTCGACGACTTCGGGATGAAGTCGCCACTCCCCTGGTAGGGAGTTCCCCCGCGACAGTAAATCCGCACCCGAGTTCAGTCTGCCTGGCACGTGTTGCTCTGAGAGACAGATGTTCACTGCTCCATAGCAAGATCGCTCTCGCCAGAGAGTGAAGTTGACAGGAGCGTGTTCCTCCTTAGCGGTTGATATACGCCACTGTAGACATATTGTCCACCCTGACCAGGACATGTTGGCCCTGTAGGAATGGACAGAAGTGCCTTAGGGCTAATAACAGTGTAGAGTTCGAGAATGTTGATATGGGCTGTACTCGTAGAGTATGACCATACGCCGTTCACCCTTCGTGGAATGCCCCCCATCCCTGTAGTGATGCATCCGTTGTCACTACTTTGTGCGAAGACCCTCCCAGTAGGGCAGCCCCGTGTCAAGAGGGATGGGTCTCTCCAGCATTGATGTGCCGATAAGACTCTTTGCAGACAGAAGCACGTGCCTGTGCCGGTGGAAAGACGGGTCCAAGCGTAGTGAGGTCACCCAATGCTGGAAGTCTCTTATGAGGAGGAGACCAAGCGGCACTACCACAATCATGGAGGCCATGAGCCCAAGAAGCCTCAGACACATCCAGTACGTAACGGATGTTGCCGGGCAAAACACAGAGGCAGTGGCAAAAAGCCATCACTCTTTCCACAGTGAGGGCTGCTCGACAGGCTACAGAGTCCAGAGACTATCCCAAAAATATTTTCTGCTGGGTCTGTAAGCGCGTGAGGTCAATTCAGACTCGTTCAGTTTACATCTTGTCTAGACTATTGTAGACTATATGAAATTAAATGTACGCCTATCAGGGGCTATAGGCTACTTGCCTTTATCTAAGCAAACCATGGCAAAATTGAATTACAATCATAAACCCAGATTTTAATCTGATGCCTATTGAAATGAAAATGGGCCATTTATAACAGATTGTAGTCTTAACATCTGGCACATAACAGCATAATTGCCAGAAAATAGCCTAACAGTTATTTTTTGTGTTTGTCCAAGTGTTTCTTGCTCAGAGATTGAGATCCTCTGTCCAACTTTCATCACTCAAACTCTCCTGTTGGATTTATCTATAGTTATGCACATGCGCAAAGGGGATTTATTTAAGCAATAAGGCATGAGGGGGTGTGGTATATGCCCAATATACCACGGCTAAGGGCTGTTCTTCTGCACAACGCAATGCGGAGTGCCTGGATACAGCCCTTAGCCGTGGTTTATTGGCCATATATCATTAACCCACAAGGTGCCTTATTGCTATTATAAACTGGTTCCCAACGTAATTACAACAGTAAAAATAAATATTTTGTCATACCGGTGGTACATGGTCTGATATACCACGGCTGTCAGCCAATCAGCATCAGAATTATTTTTTCTCTTGCCACGTATTCAAATTTCTTTATTACTTCATGTAATAGCTCGCAATTATTATTTTTAGGAAAACCTCATTTTGCTTCTAACGACATTGTTACAAGTTACTACGATATTCCTTCTTAATTGGCTTGATAATGTTATGGAAAAAGGGTTTATTGTATAAATATGGCAACTTTTTAGGCCTTTTGTGCAGGTTGAGTGGTCACTGGGCTACACATGTTTGCTACATCTGGCAACCCTGGATAACCCAGTCGACTGAATGAGAACAATTTGCTGCATTTTGATTTTACTTTATTTTTCATTTGTCCAACTATTATCTGTCCTAATGTATAGTCAACTTCATAACAAATTACATTACGATGACTGCTATAACAACGGCACACATAATCGTGGTATATTCAGAGCTCCAGGTTTTAAGCCATGTCTATATTTGTCTGTTATTGTAGGCTACAAGACAATTTCGCAACTGGTTCAATCCCCTGCAGTTGATAACTGACTGAGCCATCTAATCATTATTGCAATAGACTCTGATCTAGGCATGAATAAACACTGTATGCCTAAAGTACCTCAATCAACCACCAATCTCTCGGAGATTTTTATATCAAATGAATCTGTCTGAAACTCATTCATTCACAAAACATTATGCTAACAATGTAACTATCAATAGCAGCCTTATCTAGTCAAATACGCTCAAAGGAAAATCTATTTCAAAAGCAATATTTCTAGTTAATTTTCAAAATGATAACTGTACTACAAGTTCCTATACACAGTCAATATACTAGACTATTTAGCTTCAACAGATCACAAATCGGCAGTGGGCTCGCAGATGCTATAGCCTATAGGTTGATCCAGTGGGTGCGCACACTACGCAGCGCAGTTTCTTCAGCACTAGAGCAACGCGCATCTACATAAGTTCCTCACTAGTTTACTACGTTCAATAGCGTATAAACTAGGTAAAATCGGGCGCTACGCGCATCATTTTC